CGCCCAACCTTCCTTCCGAGGAGTGGCTAATGGGTTTGAACCGCCAGCCTTCTGGTTAGCAGTCAAGTGCCTCAGGCACTACACGTAAGCCTAAGGAGGGGTCACTACGAGTTGGATCCAACTCGATGGCAGTGGGTTTGGTTTTGGTATTCATATTGAAGGCAGAATACAGTTTGATAGACTGATTTCATTGCATATTAACTTTAAGAAAAGATAAATTATTTAGCCTATTATGAGCTAAGGGGGAAAATCCATTAAAATAACTTTCCTCTGCTATGCATAATCTATATAAAGCATAAAAATGGTAAAACAAGTCTAAAGTTTAATATCCAAAGCTATCTTGGTTAGCATATAAGAACGTTCTAAGCTGCTCATACTTATAATGGTTAAATATGGTGCACAAGAGTTGATTTAGCAACACTTATCTTCTTAATTTAACGTCACTACAATAAGGAAAAAGATTTTATTAATATCGTATTTTCTTCCTTCCAAAGTTAGAAAAGCTCATGAGCACAAGACACAAAGTGCTTAGCTCAAAATTAGCCTCTCCTTGCCCTCAACAGACCCATGCTGACTGAATCAAAGAAAGGCTGTACCAAGATAACTGAAACAAACAGAATGTTATCACAACAGATACGTACGAGGCACAACATCCAGGCGTAGCAGGCACTGATCCATGCCCACCCTGTTTTGGACTGTACAACTGTATGTCCCAGAATACTCAGTAGTAGCATTTTTTACAGATATAACAGGTGAAGTCATTTCTATGGTGAGAAGGGGGGAAAAAAAGAGCAAAATTCATTTTTACAGTACCATTTCAGTTCTTAGCTGAGCTTTAGTTAAGGAAACCATTCTACCAAGTTTATCAATCCAGTTAAAAGCACAACAGACTAGAGCTGTGCCTCTTGTTCTCTTGTATCAGGATAAAAGTCATCACAATTCCTTTAGACAGGCACAGAGATCCCCTGCTAGTCCTACACACAAACCACTTTGTGTCATATCTGATTATAAGAAGCACCCCAGGACATCAAGGTCAACTGGCATAACATACTATACAAAACATTGTTCCATCTCCTACTTTGGCGAGTAGCGACTGGGATCTTAAAAGCTAGCAAGCTGTTCAATGACAGATACATAGACCAATGGAATAGAATTGAGAACCCAGATATAGATCCATC